ACACACACACACACACACACACACACACACACACACACACACACACACACACACAAACAATGTAAAGGGAAGTAGAGGGACAGGAGAGATAACCAAGAAAGCTAGGCCTTCACTATGGTGGAAGGTAGAAATTATATGATACAAATTGATAAGCACGCATGTAGGAGTTAGATAAAGTATTACATCCAGCACCGTACTGTATTCTCATGTAGAGTAGAATAATAGGCACATAAGGATGCGTGCTTAAGAGTAGACATGTGACAGGATGGGAGTTTGTCTGTGAGGTAAGGAGGGGGTACATCGCAGTTTCTGCATAACAACAAAGATAGGGAGCATGTGGTTTCAGATCAGGGTGTTATGACATTTGCAGCAGGCATAGGAGGTTGTTTTTGTAAGATTGTTATTGTTTTATGTTTATGCCAAAAAGTTGATTCTGTTCTGTTGTAGCATTTTCATTGGGAGAAACATTTCGTCACTCATCCAAATGACTTCTTCAGTAGCAGTTGACTGCAGGTTTCCCCAATCTTATAAACAGTACATTTGCATTATTACTGAAACTAGCACCACTGAGTGAACAAAGGGCCATTCCGGCATTCAGGAGGAAACGTGATTGACGTGTTTTGGGAAGAGTGAGGTCTTTGACTCAGCTAGAAAGTATATAAAGTAGTAGCTGAGGAACGAATCCTCAGATCTGCACAAGACTCTGTACTGTGTTTGATCTCCCAATGCGCATTGGTAATAAAGGGATTTTGTATTGCAGTAACGTGTGCCAGAATTAAAAGGATCGGGAGCAATCGAGAGAGGATCGCGACAATGCAAAAATACCTCCACAGCTTTCCAACCTTTTCATATTCTACCTTTTTTTTAACCCTCTGATGCATAGTGGTCACTGGAGTGGACATCATGCATTACCCACTATATTTTTTTAACATAAGTCATAAATTGTCTCACTGTTTTTTGGGACTGTTTTGGTTATAAGTAAGCATATAATTGTTACATTTATAAGCTACTCATTTAAAATGTATATTTCTGTGCAGATCAGCTGTAGTTTGAGTTACTATA